GAATAAGAAGAAGAAAATTGTCAAAGTGGGAAGTCTGAATGTGCGTGGATGTTGTGCAAATGATAAGAAAGAAATGATTGTGGATGTTATGAATGAGAAGAAGCTGGATGCCCTGGCTTTAAGTGAAACAAAGCTGAAGGGGGTGGGAGAGTTTCAATGGAGAGGAATAAATGGGATTAGGTCAGCGGTTTCAAATAGAGTTAGAGCTAAAGAAGGAGTAGCAATAATGTTGAAGGATAAGCTATGGCAGGAAAAGAGGCACTATAAATATATTAATTCAAGGATTATGTGGAGTAAAATAAGGATTGGATGTGAAAAGTGGGTTATAATAAGTGTGTATGCACCTGGAGAAGAGAGAAATGTAGAGGAGAGAGAGAGAGATTTTGAGAAATGTTGAGTGAATGCGTGGGGAGTTTTGAATCAAGTGTGAGAGTAATAGTGGTTGGGGATTTCAATGCTAAAGTGGGTAAAAATGTTATGGAGGGAGTAGTAGGTAAATTTGGGGTGCCAGGGGTAAATGTAAATGGGGAGCCTTTAATTGAGCTATGTGTAGAATGAGATTTGGTAATAAGTAATACATATTTTATGAAAAAGGGGATAAATAAATATACAAGGTATGATGTAACACGTAATGAAAGTAGTTTATTAGATTATGTATTGGTGAATAAAAGGTTGATGGGTAGGTTCCAGGATGTACATGTTTATAGAGGGGCAACTGATATATTGGATCATTATTTAGTTGTAGCTACAGTTAGAGTAAGAGGTAGATGGGAAAAGAGGAAGCTGGCAACAACAAGTAAGAGGGAGGTGAAAGTGTATAAACTAAGGAAGGAGGAAGTTCGGTTGAGATATAAGCGACTATTGGCAGAAAGGTGGGCTAGTGCAAAGATGAGTAGTAGGGGGGGGGGGGTTGAAGAGGGTTGGAATAGTTTTAAAAATGCAGTATTAGAATGTGGGGCAGAAGTTTGTGGTTATAGGAGGGTGGGGGCAGGAGGAAAGAGGAGTGATTGGTGGAATGATGAAGTAAAGGGTGTGATAAAAAGAGAAAAAGGTAGCTTATAAGAGGTTTTTACGAAGCAGAAGTGTTATAAGAAGAGCAGAGTATATGGAGAGTAAAAGAAAGGTGAAGAGAGTGGTGAGAGAGTGCAAAAGGAGAGCAGATGATAGAGTGGGAGAGGCACTGTCAAGAAATTTTTATGAAAATAAGAAAAAAATTTGGAGTTAAACAAGTGAAGAAAGCCTAGGGAAAGTATGGATTTGTCAGTTAAAAACAGAGTAGGTGAGTTAGTAGATGGGGAGATGGAGGTATTAGGTAGATGGCGAGAATATTTTGAGGAACTTTTAAATGTTAAGGAAGAAAGAGGAGTAGTAATTTCATGCACTGGTCAGGGAGGTATACCATCTTTTAGGAGTGAAGAAGAGCAGAATGTAAGTGTGGGGGAGGTACGTGAGGCATTACGTAGAAAGAAAGGGGGTAAAGCAGCTGGAACTGATGGGATCATGACAGAAATGTTAAAAGCAGGGGGCGATATAGTGTTGGAGTGGTTGGTACTTTTGTTTAATAAATGTATGAAAGAGGGGAAGGTACCTAGGGATTGGCGGAGAGCATGTATAGTTCCTTTATATAAAGGGAAAGGGGACAAAAGAGACTGTAAAAATTATAGAGGAATAAGTTTACTGAGTATACCAGGAAAAGTGTACGGTAGGGTTATAATTGAAAGAATTAGAGGTAAGACAGAATGTAGGATTGCGGATGAGCAAGGAGGAATCAGAATGGGTAGGGGATGTGTAGATCAAGTGTTTACATTGAAGCATATATGTGAACAGTATTTAGATAAAGGTAGGGAAGTTTTTATTGCATTTATGGATTTAGAAAAGACATATGATAGAGTGGATAGAGGAGCAATGTGGCAGATGTTGCAAGTATATGGAATAGGTGGTAAGTTACTAAATGCTGTAAAGAGTTTTTATGAGGATAGTGAGGCTCAGGTTAGGGTGTGTAGAAGAGAGGGAGACTACTTCCCAGTAAAAGTAGGTCTTAGACAGGGATGCGTTATGTCATCATAGTTGTTTAATATATTTATAGATGGGGTTGTAAAAGAAGTAAATGCTAGGGTGTTCGGGAGAGGGATGGGATTAAATTATGGGGAATCAAATTCAAAATGGGAATTAACACAGTTACTTTTTGCTGATGATACTGTGCTTATGGGAGATTCTAAAGAAAAATTGGAAAGGTTAGTGGATGAGTTTGGGAATGTGTGTAAAGGTAGAGAGTTGAAAGTGAACATAGAAAAGAGTAAGGTGATGAGGGTATCAAATGAATTAGATAAAGAAAAATTGGATATCAAATTGGGGAGGAGGAGTATGGAAGAAGTGAATGTTTTCAGATACTTGGGAGTTGACGTGTCGGCGGATGGATTTATGAAGGATGAGGTTAATCATAGAATTGATGAGGGAAAAAAGGTGAGTGGTGCATTGAGGTATATGTGGAGTCAAAAAACCTTATCTATGGAGGCAAAGAAGGGAATGTATGAAAGTATAGTATTACCAACACTCTTATATGGGTGTGAAGCTTGGGTGGTAAATGCAGCAGCAAGGAGACGGTTGGAGGCAGTGGAGATGTCCTGTCTAAGGGCAATGTGTGGTGTAAATATTATGCAGAAAATTCGGAGGGTGGAAATTTGGAAAAAGGTGTGGAGTTAATAAAAGTAATTTTTAGTCAGAGGGCTGAAGAGGGGTTGTTGAGGTGTTTGGTTATTTTAGAGAGAATGAGATTATCAAAGAAGAATGACATGGAATGGGATAAATCTATAGGGGATGGAAGGCGAGGTAGGGGTCGTCTCGAAAGGGCTGGAGAGAGGGGGTAAAGGAGGTTTTGGGGCGAGGGCTTGGATTCCAGCAAAGAGTGCATGAGCATGTTAGATAGGAGCGTAATGGAGACGAATGGTTACTTGGACCTGGGATCTGTTGGAGTGTGGAGAAGGGTAATATTTAGTGAAGGGATTCAGGGAAACCGGTTATTTTTCATATAGTTGACTTGAGTCAGTCCTGGAAATGGGAGTTACAAATGCCTGCCACTTTAATCAGGAGGGTTTGGGTCTGGCAGTTTGGATGGATATGTTTGTGTATCCTTTATACCTATATGCTTCTAAACTGTTGTATTCTGAGCACCTCTGCAAAAACAGTGATAATGTGTGAGTGTGGTGAAAGTGTTGAATGATGATGAAAGCATTTTCTTTTTGGGAATTTTCTTTCTTTTTTGGGTACTGCCTCGTGGGAGCGGCCGACTTGTTGATATAAAAAAAAGTCACTTCTTCCATAACTCCTCCTCCCCAGTTTGATATCCAATTTTTCTTTATCTAAATCATTTGATACTCTCATCACCTTTCTCTTTTCTGTGTTTATTTACAACTGTCTACCTTTACACACACTCCAAATTCTCCCTTAGACCCTTGCTATTTTTCTTTAGAATTCACCATAAAACACAGTATCAGCAAAAAGTAAGTGTCACTTCCCATTTTGTATTTGATTCCCCATAATTTAATCCCACCCCTCTCCTGAACACCCTAGCATTTTACTTCTTTTACAACCCTTATAATATATATTAAACAAACAATGGTTGACATTACACATCCTGTCTAAGACCTACTTTTACTGGGAAGTAGTCTCACCCTCTTCTACACACCCTAATCTGAGCCTCACTGCCCTTATAAAAACTCTTTACAGCATTTAGTAACTTAACACCTATTCCATATACTTGCAACATCTGCCACGTTGCTCTTGTCAACACATAATAATAATAATAATTGTTTTACATGATGGTAGGATTGCTGGTGTCTTTTGTCTGTCTCATAAATATGCAAGATTACAGGTATGTCTTGCTACTTCTTACATTTAGGTCACACTACACATACATTTACGCATTTATTTATACACACTCATCTGAGTTTTCTATGATTTTATCTTTATAATTCTTGTTCTTAATACTTTTCCTTTTATATCCATGGGGAAATAGATTAAGAATCTTTCCTCTGTAATTCATGTGTGTTGTAAAAGTCAACTAAAATGCTTGGAACAGTGGGCTAGTAACTCCTTTTCCTGTAAAGATTACTAAAAAGAAGAAGAAGAAAATTCTGAAAGTTTTTGTTTTGTTTTGTTTTAGGATGTCTGAATGTGTGTGGTTATGTTGTGCGAATAAGAAAGAGATGATGGTGGATGCTATGAATGAGAAGCTGGATGTCCTGGCTTTAAGTGAAACAAAGCTGAAGGGGGCAGGAGAGTTTCAGTGGAGAGAAGTAAATGGGATTAGGCCAGGGGTTTCAGATAGAACTAGAGCTAAAGTAGGAGTAGCAATAATGTTGAAGAATGAGCTGTGGCAGGAAAAGAGGGAGTATAAATGTATTCATTGATTATGTGGAGTAAAATAAAGGTTGGATGTGGAAAGTGGGTTATAGTAAGCGTATATGCACTGAGAAGAGAGAACGTGTAGAGGAGAGAGAGAGAGGTTTTGGGAATTGTTGAGTGAGTGTGTGGGAGTTTTGAAACCAATTGTGAGAGTACTTGTGGTTGGGGATATCAATGATATGTGGGTAAAAATGTTGTGGGGGAGTAGTATGTAAAATTTGGGGTGTCAGGGGTAATGAAAGTGGGGAACCTTTTATTTGAAGCTGTGTATGTAGAAAGAGGTGCTTGTAATAAGTAAACATATTTATGAAAAAGAGGATAATTAATTATAAATACAAGGTCATGATATAGCCTCGTAGATGCCAGATACGTTTGTTAGACTTATTATATTGGTGGTATAAAAGGTTTCTTTTTCTGTCTCATAAACACGCTAGATAACAGGGATATCTTGCTACTCCTTCTTACATTTGGTCACACTTCACAGACACGCACAGCATATATTCTATATATACATACATCTAGGTTTTTTCTCCCTTTTTTTAAATTGCTCTTGTCCTCTTTTTATTTCTTCTATTGTCCTTGGGGAAGTGGAAAAGAATCTTTCCTCCGTAAGCATGCGTGTCGTATGGGCGGTCTAATATGCGGGGAGCAATGCGGCTAAGTAACCCCTTCTCCTGTATACATTTAACTAAAAGAGAAGAAGAAATAACTTTATTAATACTGGGTTGCTTAAATGTGGTTGGACTGCCCCCCCCCCCCCCCACCCCCCCCCCCCCCCCCCCCCCCCCCCCCCCCCCCCCCCCCCTCCCCCCCCCCCCCCCCCCCCCCCCCCCCCCCTCCCCCCCCCCCGATAGTGGGGTTGACACGAACAGATGATTTGCTGATGTTATGAATGGAAAAAAAGAAGTTGGTTGGCCTGGCTCTTAGCGAAACAAAGACTGAAGGGGGTAGCGAGAGTTTTCAGTCGGGGGGAAATAAATGGGATTAATCTGGAGTTCTGAGAGGAGGGGGTTTAGAGCAAAGGGAAGGGTAGCAGTAATGTAAATGATCAGTTATGGAAGGAGGAAAAGAGAATATGAATGTGTAATTCAAGAATTATGTGGATTAAAGTAAAGGTTGGTGCGAGAAGTGGTCATAATAAGCGTGTATGCACCTGGAGAAGAGAGGAATGCAGAGTGACGCGAGAGAGATTTTGGGAGATGTTAGTGAATGTATAGGAGCCTTTGAACCAAGTGAGAGGAGGAATTTGTGGTAGGGGACCTTGAAGGCTAAAGTTAGGAGAAAACTTTTGATGAGGGTGTGGTAAGGTAAGTTTGGGGTGCCAGGTGTACTTTATAATGGGAGCCCTTTGAGTGAACTTTGTATAGAAAGGGGTTTAGTTATAGGTAATAATTATTTTAAGGAAAAAGAGGATAAATAAGTATACAAGATATGAAGTAGGGCGAATTGGACAGTAGTGTGTTGGATTATGTATTGGGTAGATAAAAGACTGCTGAGTTAGACTTCGGAGTGTACATGATTATAGAGGGGCCACAGATATATCAGGGTCACTTTTAGTTGTATGCTACACTGAGAGTACAAGGATAGATGGGATAAAGGAGAATAGAAGCATCAGGGAAGAGAGAGGTGAAGGTTTATAAACTAAAAGAGGAGGCATGTTAGGGTACGATAAAACAGCTATTGGAGGATAGATGGGCAATCGAGAGCATAGGCAATGGGGTTCGAAGAGGTATGGGGTTAGGATTAAATGTAGTTTAGCGTGTTTCAGCAGAAGTTTGTGGTTACAGGAAAGTGGGTGCAGTGAGGGAGAGGAGCGATTGGTGGAATGATGATGTAAAAAGAGGTAGTATAGGGAGAAAAAGTTAGCATATGGGAAGTTTTTACAAAGTAGAAGTGATGCTAGGAGGGGAAGGTTTATGGAGAAAAAGAGGAAGGTTAAGAGAGTGGTGAGCAATGTAAAAAGAGAGCAAATGAGAGAGTGGGTTGAGATGTTATCAAACAAATTTTGTTGAAAAAGAAGAAATAGTTTTGGAGTGAGATTAACAATTTAAGAAAGCCTAGAGAACAAATGGATTTGTTCGTTAAAAATAGGAGAGGGAGAGTTATTAATGAGGAGTTAGAGGTATTGGGAAGAGGAGGGAATATTTTGAGGAATGTTTAATGTTGATGAAGATAGGGGATGCTGTGATTTCGTGTATAGGGCAAGGAGGAATTAACATCTTGTTAGGAGTGGAGGAAGTGCCAGTTGTGAGTGTGGGGGAAAAGATCGTGAGGCAGTAGTGTAAATTGAAAGGGGGTAAGGCCACAAAAACGGGGATTGATGGCGATAAAGATAGAAATGTTAAAAGCATGTGGGGATATAGGTTTGGAGTGGTTGGTGCAATTATTTAATAAATGTATGGAAGAGGGTAAGGTACCTAGGGATTGGACAGAGAGCATGCATAGTTCTTTGTATAATAGGCAAAGGGATAAAAGGAGTGCAAAAATTATAGGGGGATAAGTCTGTTTGAGTGTACATGGTAATGTGTATGGTAGAGTTATAATTGAAAGAATTAAAGAGGAAGCGGAGAAAACAATTTTATAAAAATATAAATAATATAAATAAAATTAAATGATTATTAAAAAAAAAATAAAATTTGGTTAAAATAGGGTATAATCAAAAATATAGAAATGGAATAATAAAATAAAAAGATAAAAGAAATGGAAAAATTAGTAATTAAAAATATAATTAAAATAAAAAAAAAATAGGTATATAGTGATAGAATTGAGCATATATAAATATTTTGGTTAAAATGGAATAACATAAAAAATATAATAAGACTTAATATGAATAAAAAATTAATAGCGATGAACAAGGAAGGCTTTTTAGGCAAAGGTAGGGGGATGTGTGGACCAGCGTGTTTACAGTGAAACATATAAGTGAACAGTATTTAGTTAGGCTAAGAGGTCTTTGTGGCATTTTTTGGTTTTGGAAATGGCGTATATGACAGGGTGGATAGGGGGGCAATGTGGCAGATGTTGCAAGTGGATGGTGTAGGAGGTAGGTTTCTGAAAGCAGGTGAAGAGTTTTTAAGGGATTAGTGAGGCTCAAGTTAGAGTATGTAGGAAAGAGGGAAATTTTTTTCCAGTAAAAGTAGGCCTTAGACAAGGATGTGTGATGTCACCGTGGGTGTTTAATATATTTATAGATGGGGTTGTAAGAGAAGTAAATGCGAGGGTCTTGGCAAGAGGCGTGGAGTTAAAAGATCAGAAATCACACACAAAGTGGGAGTTGTCACAGCGCTCTTGCTGATGACACTGTGCTCTTGGGGAGATTCTGAAGAGGAAGTTGCAGAGATTGGAGGATGAAATTGGTAGGGTGTGCAAAAGAAGAAAATTAAAGCGTGAAACAGGAAAGAGTAAGTTTATGAGCGATAACAAAAAGAGTAGGTGATGAAAGATTGAATATCAGATTGGAGGAGAGATATGAGGAGGTGAGTATTCAGATATGTGGGAGTGAGTGTCAGGGATGGGTCTATGAAGTTGAGGTGAATCATAGAAATTGATGAGGGAAAAGAGTGAGTGGTGCACTTAGAGTCTGTGGAGACAAAGACTTTGTCCTTGGAGGCAACAAAGAGGGGATTGTATGTGAGTATAGTTTTACCAACGCTCTTATATGGTGTGAAGGTGGCGTGATGAATGTTGCAGCGAGGAGAAGGCGGGAGGAGTGGAGATGTCATGTTGTGGGCAAAGTCGTGGTGTGAATTATAATGCAGAGAATTCGTAGTTTGGAAGTAGGAGGAGGTGCGGGATTACCAAAACTGTTTGTCCAGAGGCTGAGGAAGGGTTGTTGAGGTGGTTCGGACATGTTGTTAGAGGATGGAGCGAAACAGAATGACTTCAAGAGTGTTCAGTCTGTAGTGGAAGGAAGGCGGGGTAGGGGGTCGTCGCCTAGGAAAGGTGGAGGGAGGGGGTAAAGGAGGTTTTGTGTGCGAGGGGCTTGGACTTCCAGGAGGCATGCATGAGCGTGTTTGATGGAGTGAATGGAGGAAAATGGTTTTTAATACTTGACGGGCTGTTGGAGTGTGTGCAAAGTAACTTTATGAAGGGATCAGGGAAACGGCAGGCCGCGACTTGAGTCCTGGAGATGGGAAGTACGTGCCATGGCACTATGAAGGAGGGGTGTTATGTTGCTAGTTTAAAAACTGTAGTGTAAAGCACCCTTCTGCGGCAAGACAGTGATGGGTGATTGATGGTGAAAGTTTTTCTTTTTCGGGGGGCCACCCTGCCTTGGGGGATCGTGGACGTGTGATAATAAAACTAAAAAAAATAAGGTGATGTGTAGGCTTCAGGAGTTCATGTTTATAGAGGTGCATTTATATATGGTTATCATTATTTACGTGTAGTACAGTGAGGAGTAAGAGGTAGATGGGACTAAAGGAATGGCATACAACAAGTAAGAGAGAGTGAATTGTTAAAACTAAGGGAATAAGAAGTTCGGCGAGCATAGGCAACTATTTGCAGAAAGGTGGTAGTGCAAAGTATGTGTTAGTGGGGGGGGGGGGTTGAAGAGGGTTGGAATAGTTTTAAAAAATGCAGTATTAGAATGTGGGCAGCGTCTTGGTATAGGAGGGTGCGTGCAGGAGGAAAGAGGAGTGATGGTTGAATGATGAAGTAAATGGTGTGATAAAATGAGAAAATGGTAGATGAATGAGATGGTTTACAAAGCCAGGAAGTGTTATAGAAGAGGAGAGTATTGGAGAGTAAAAGAAAGGTGAAGAGAGTGGTGAGGAAAGTGTAAAGGCGAGCAGATGATGGAGTGGGGAGTGCACTGTCAAGGAAATTTTGATGAAAAAATTGAACAATTTGAAACGAGATAACAAGTTAAAAAAGCCTAGTTAACGAATGGGATTTAATGGTTAAAAACAGAGAGTTGGGGAGTTAGTAACCTGGGCGATGGAGATATTGGGTAGATGGTGGAGAATATTTTGAGGAAATTTTAAATGTTGAGAGAGGGAGACTACTTCTCACTATAGGGTGGGTCTTAGCGGATGTGTATGTCCTGGTTGCTTACTTTATTATAAATAGGGTTGAAAAGATGTCAATGTACTGGGTTTGGGGAGAGGGGTGGATTAAATTTTGGGATCAAATACAAATTGGGAATTGACACAGGTAACTTTTGTGTGATACTGTGCTTATGGGAAGATTTATAAAGAAAAGTTGCAAAGGGTTATGAGAGTTTCGGAGAGTGTGTAAGGGCAAAAAGTTGAAAGTGAACGTAGAAAAGAGTAAAGTGATCAGGGCATCGAATGATTTAGATATAGAAAAATTGGATATCAAATTGGAGAGGAGTTGTATGGAAGAAGTGAATGTTTTCAGATATTTCGGAGTTGTCGTGTGAGCGGATGGATGTATGAAGGATGAGGTTAACTATAGAATTGATGAAGGAAAAAAGGTATGTGATGCATTGAGGTATATGTGGAGACAAAAAACATTGTCTATGGAGGCAAAGAAGGGAATGTATGAAAATATAGTGGTACCAACACTTACATGGGTGTGAAGCTTGGGTTGTAAATGCTGCAGCAAGGAGGCAGTGGAGATGTCCTGTCTAAGGGCAATGTGTGGTGTAAATATTATGCAG